GGATGTCCAAGAGAGGCTTCAACCCTGAGCAGTGGTGATGGGGTTCTTGTTTCTGTGCAAGAAAGAATTCAAGAGTGAGACAGATGCAGGAAAGTGAAAGTGATTTATTGAATATGAAAATACACACTGGAGAGGAAGGTGTGGGCAAACTCAGAGAACAATCACAATCAGGGGTACTTAGCCCTCCCAGGGTAGGAATTGGTGATTTACAGTTGAAGTGGTTCATTCATCTCCTCCCCTGGACGGGACACTCGGTTTCCCGCTTTTTCTTCCTTATTTGGTTCCTTTGGAACTGTCATGATGTCAGATGCATGATGGGAGCCATAATAACCATGATGCAAATGACATTATAATGACATTATAATTAACTAAAGGTCAGGTCCTGGTCATAGGGATCAGCCTAGCTGGGTGAAACACGTCCTTGTTTTTCTCCAGCTGCAGGTACTGGATACAGTCACCTGTTACTTGTGTAACCAGGGAGGCACCTCACATTGTACCCCGGAGGGGGTTGTCAGTTTCCTAAGCTACATGTCCTGCCTCAGATCCGTGCTGCTTTTCTCTTCCTTGCCTTTGTTCATGCTATTCCCTCTGCCAGGAAAGCACTTCTTAACGAACATTCTTCCTTGACTGATTTATTCCCATATATCCTTCTAAAATCAGTTTACGTTACTGTATTACATATTTGAATATGGTACTTATCAGTTGTATTTCATCTTTATCAATTGTGTTTTCTTTATTGTTATGTAAATTGTTTGTGTCCTTTACTAGTCTGAGCTCCTCAAAGGCAGCTATGCCTTGTTCAATTTGTTTTCCCATCACTTATGTGCCTGGCACATGATAGGTACTTAATAAATGTTTGATCAATGGTGAATGAGTTTCAACTTCTGTAAATAGAGTTAAAACTAATCTCCATAAGCTAAGTTAAATAAGTCTAAATACTTAGATACTTACAAAAATTGAACTTGAACTAATAGCACCCTGTAAGTGTGAGGAGAAATGGGCATTGTTTCCTTAGACTTGCAGAAATAAGTTTTAAATTAATTCCTCAATTCTTTTCTTGCCATGTGTTTTTGGAACTTCACCAAGGAGTGTCTATGTAGCAAAAATGTCTAGCTTTGTTCAAAGTATGAGCTATAGGTAATAATAATGTAATTTATCTTAAAAATCTAAAAAGAAAGAAAATTTTAGATTCC